AAATAAAAAATTTTTTAAAATGGCACTTAGACGAAGTCATATCTGTATTATAACGAATCACTTTCTTTATAATCGAAAAAACCGTTTATGAGAAAAATAGAGATTAATTAGAAATTACAGCAAATTACTGTTTCGTAACTCATTTGTAATTTTTCCTGCATCTCTGTATTTCTCTTTTATACTATTTTTTGACATCGAAGATCGTTATTTCTAATATCCAATTGATCGCATGTTTCTTAGTGAGACATTATTTCTTCACTTTGCACATTATTTGGATTATATTTATATAGTGCAAACTGTTCCATATTTGTACAGAGTTTTTGCTTGTACTATATGACCGATGAATGAATATATCTATCAAATATTTTACTAAATACTTCTTATACAGCCATCGAGAAAATAACCATAAACTTGTGAGGTTCATATCTCAAGGATTTTCAAGGAACGATTTTTCTAAATATCTGAACAATTCCTTCGCGAAAGCAAGAGCTACTTAAAAATACCTGATAAATGACACTGGGGGACAAATGACCTGTCACTATTATGACCTGTTCAGAAGCACATAAAGTAACTGTTCATAACAGGAATCGCCCCAAGAGGCGTATGACAACATTTCCGAGCATGGATTCCAATACAAATTTATTGATGAAATTCCCTAATTCCCCTAGACATTCAAGCGATCCTTTTACTATATATAAGGTTTTTGAACTTCGTTTTGAAATTTCGTCAAAACATAAACAAAAAATGTAAATTAAAAAAACTGAAGCTTGAAGAATCTGGTTGCAGATTTGAAAGCATCTAAGACCTGTTTAAAAATTTTGCGCATTTGCGCAATGGAAAAAAAAAGTTCCCCCGTGTGGGATCCAAGCACTTGCATACATGTATGAAAATTAAAGCCACAAATTTGAGACATAAAAATTGGTTGTGGAATCTATCTAATAGTAATTTATATATATATATATATATATATATATATATAAAANATATTTATATATATATAAAATATTTATATAGTTTTGCATTTTTTGATCTAAGAATAAATTTCCAAATATATTTCGTTCTTAAAAAAGAAATAAAAAAGGGAAGAATTAGGATTTTTCTTTGTCGATATTAGATTTATTTCTAAAGTAAGATGATGAATTGAGGTTAAATAAAGTATATAAATTTGAAAAAATACCAAAATGTTCAAAAGACAGCAGGTTAAAGATGGCGAAAGATTTTGAAATAATTTGAAAAAGAAATATTTAATTCTTCAAATTCAGCCAATTTTAAAAAAACAAATATTTCATTTATTAGTTTGAAAGTTTCTATTAATGTTCCAAGAAGAAATGAGAATAATACAGTAGATGTGGTTATCATTTATATAATTATTATTGCAGTTTAATACATAAATACATGCCTTGCCATTTAATACATAAATTCTGACACATTAAACTAATATATGGAGCCACAAATTTACCAAGAAGTTCTCTTCAGATATTATTTATTTTATTTTTGGAATTCCTACGTTGAGATAAGCTGCTGTTCAATTTCATGGAACCTGTTTTGAATAAATAGTGAGCGTTATTTATTTTAGAAGGAAGATTCAATCTGAAGCAATCATAAAGTAGATGTAAAAATAAAATTTCGAGAAGCTTAATATTCAAAAGTGCTTTATGCGTCACCTGAAATAAATGTGATCCACTAAAAGATTCAATTTATGACTGTATTTTCAAACTCGCTTTCTAGTGTAGATGATACATATAGAGAGAAAAGCATTTTTCATTGGAAATGCAAAGTGTTATCTCTAACTCTGCTCACATCACAAACTAGTAAATAGATAAGATTTCAGAAGCAAACTTTTTTTTGCAAAATTTAGATTTTTAATAGTTAGATGAAGTTAACATAAATTTTTACAAAATAAATAAATAAAAACAATTTCAGGTTCGAAGTTAACAGAATTAGATTGAAATACATTTTAAAACTCATTTGAAACTTATATGGTGATAAATTATTCACTTAAATAATATGCTATCAAAAGTGTCTAAAACAGTAATATGCTATCAAAGAAGTAAAATGTGCCATAAGAAATACCTATTGATCACCTTTGTAAGTTGATCACCTTTGTAAGTTGATCACCTTTGTAAGTTGATTACCTTTGTAAGTTCATTATCCTGGTAAGTTGACTATGCTGATAAGTTGCTTGCCCTGGTAAGTTGATTACTCTGATAAGTTGATTACCCTTATATGTTGATTACCCTGATAAGTTGATTACTATGATAAATTGATTACCCTTTAAAGTTCACTCCCCAGGTAAGTTGATTACCCTGATAAGTTCACTCCCCAGGTAAGTTGATTACCCTGATAAGTTCACTCCCATGATTGGTTCACTGCCCTTGTATGTTGACGGTTCTTGTATTTTGAACCCCCTTGCAAATTGACCAGCTATCAATACTGACCTCTACTGTGAAGAACCAAATTCCTTCTATATCTTATATAGCGAAATCATTGTTATTTGATCAACTGTCTTGTATGCTGGAATATTTCAATATTTAAATTTTGTCTAGATGTGTTATTGTATGCTATTTAAAAATCTCGATAAGTTGACTGGAAACATAAATTAATGAAATACTGAAAAATTTGCATAATTATACTAGGAAATTTTTTATTAAGAATTTCACTGAATTGGTAATATAAAAATTGAAACCGTTTATGAGTTGATCATAGAGGAATTTCGTAACAAATATGTTTTTGCGTACAGTGAGCAGAAAAGGAACACCTTGAATATGTTTCATTATAATGATTGGAGTTTTACATACTAGGACATATTCTTCATGGTTCACTGTGGTGACCTCAAATATGCTAAATGAACTTAAAGTTTCAAATATGATATTTTAAGTCGCAAAATAAGACGCAACCTTCTCTGGATAAACACTTTTTTTCGATGGATTTGGATTTCTGACCCTCATATTTTGAGGGGTAGCTTCAATATAAAGAATATGGTCCTAATAGTCCAGGCAAGTGAGCGGTTTGAAGTTTGGACTCCTGAATGTTAATATTGCTTTTTGTGTATTTCACTATCTCACGAATTTTTCAAGTGAATCAAATAATTTATGTCACAATTATAAAATTCGTAAATTCAAAATTAAATTCCATGCAAAAAAATAGATTTCAATAATTTATTTCTGTTTTATTTAAGAAGTGTCGAAAAAAAGGAAAATGTAAGGGATACAAATTTTCACTTCACTCTGAAAAATGTATTTTTATATGGCAAAATACAGAAATTTTAATGAAATCGTCCAACTAGCTCCTGAGAAATCGTATTTTAAAAAAAGTAGTTTAGTTTTACACGCTTGAAAAATTGATATTTAATAAATCTGCATTTTTGTAATTTGATTTCTCAGAAACTTATAATTATAATTTTGTTTTTGTATTTATTTATTATAATTTTCTATTTTGTCACATAAAATTGCATTTTGTATAATAATGTAAAAGAATTGCATACTTTGCAAATCAAAATTTGTTTTCTACTATTGTATGAAATAGCAATAAATAATGAAGAAAAATTATTTTTTGAATGGCATCATTTCCGGATAAATATATTTTATAATCGGGTGCAAAAATGTTTAGATTTACTTAAAAAATTCTCGAGAAATGGTGAAATACGCAAAAAGTATAATTAACAATAAGAGTTTCAAGCTTCGGACTCTCTCTCTTAACCAAATTATTTGGACCGTACTGTGGCTACCCCTACCCCCTAATTTAAGAGTAGGAACTCCAAATTTGTCGAAAAAGTATGCTAATTCAGAGGAAGTACGTTTTTTGTGTGCCATTTTGTAACTTTTTTGAGCAATGTTGATGCATATAAATTTTAAAAATTTTAAAATGTATAAATGTTCTTGTGCTTTGACATTTTAAGAAAAATTATTTTATGAATAAATGGTATAAATCCCTTGCAAATATGCATATTAGTTTAATAAAAACTATTCAGCTCATTATGCAAATTGCAACTCATCCTAATTGCAATTTATTCCACTTATTTAATTTCTTAATGGGTTATTTTCTAAAAACAGTTACGTTAATAATGTAGTTTTATCCTGATAAAAAACAATGACTCATCCACCGCTATAAGCTGACCACCTTATTGAGGATGATCTCTAAAATAAATCACCTAGTTGTCAACTTACACAGGATTCATTGTATTTAGTTTTATTTTTTCATCTTCGAATAATCTACCAAGATAGTAAATGCGAGACAATATTTTGCTGCATAACATTGCAATGTAGAACGCATTGTAGAAAACGAATTCCTTACTCAATAATACAGTTTTATTCTATCACCTCCGAACAATCTACCAGGATGATAAATGCGAGACAATATTCTGCTACATAACATAGTAATTTAGAACGCAAATTAGAAAATTAACTTCTTACTCAAACACTGGAACTAATTTGCTCTTGTGAACGACAGCTTTTTAGATGAACCTATACCTGATTTACGAAAATAAATGAAGAGAAAAACTATTAAACTTTTCCATGGTTAGTCTATTTCCAATGATACTCTTAAGCCTCTGATCACTGGGATTCACTTAGCTTTGCAATATAGCTCTGAGCGTCTGTAAATAGATACAATTATAGAATAATCAGCAATATCCGGTATTCTTCCTGAGTCGTTTGCATTAAAAGCAAGTCCTTACATTCCATTTACATCTTAGCTAAGTTGATCATTATCAGCAATACAATATAAATTGAATATGGATATTCAGCTTTATTTCGAAATGTGTCGAAGAATCAATCATCCAAAAGAGAATTTAAAACAATAATATTAAGATTAAGTTGGCTGAATGTTTGGTTTCCGCCAACGCAATAACTATGTCATTAAAATGTACACAGAAATATTCATTTTTTATGATTTTAATATTTTTTGCATTTATTTTAGAATATTACTTAATAGAAAAAATCTTTTGTTTCAAGGACGAATTTTACTGTTCAAAATAATAATTTTTTTTCCTTATTTTTTAGAGTGAAAACATGGGCACTAAAATTCGGGGCTGCAGCCAACAAAGGATGCACCGTATCTACTTGTGTAAGAACCATAGCTGAGGTAAGCACTTTTTCTGGAATTTTATTTTTGTTAACATCATTTTTGCATTTTTCATTATGTGATGTATTTAATTCAAATATATTTATAATTGAGTTAAAACTTTTAATGTGATTTTAAAGCTATGAATTTATGTTCAATTAAATATTTTAAATGAATAATCGTTTTATTTTGCATTTTGCTCTTAATAAATATCAGAACATCTCTAATTCTAGTGTATAATTAGTTTTTCTTTGATAATGAAATTTGGAGTACAATGACAGTACATTAAGCTTCTTCCATAATTTAAATACTTATAGAAAATAACATTCCAAAATTTACATAGAAAAAATAACTTTGCTTATTGTAAAAGAAAAATTTACAATGATCTGCAATATTTCGGGAGAAAAAAATTATGAGCATACACACCTTTGGGATAATGTAAATAAAAGAAGAGAAAACATACAAACAAGATTAAAGGAGAAAAAAAATAAAAACTACCTGTTAAAAATACAAGAATCTATTTCAACTACAAAAACATACAGCTTTTTTTCCAACTGTCACAGTTTTATCCAGTTTTATCCACAAAAATGAGTGTTTTCGTATATTGTATTAACATCATCGCCAAAGTNTATATATATATATATTAATTGGGTTGCTCTTAATTCGTAATTATAAAATTTTTAATTATAAATCTGACGACTACATCAGCCAATAAGCTTCTTAGAACATAAATTTTGATAGAGAAGCATACCGACCCATCCAATCAAGGAAGAAAATGAGAGAGTTATACTTACGACAGCACGAAAGTTTCGCCTAGGACATAGGGTCAAGTAATAACAGAACGGTCATAAAACTGGAGATGAGAGTTGCTATAAAAATCTATGTGAAATGGGAGTTATCGACTAGCTCTTAACGTCGGCAAAGCTCTTCTCTGATGCTCTCTACCTTAACAACATAGTGTGTGTCCACATGCATCTAACATACTTTTTTTCTTTTTATCTCAGAAAAAATAGCGGTTTTAGTTGATGGTGAGTAAACTGTTGATACAAGCTATTTTTGTAAATAGTTAAATAATTGTTTTGTTAAAATGTGTGCATTTAAATTATGACAGCACATATTTTGGTTTATAATGGATATTATTTTATTAGTCAAGCCACTAAACAGAGGAAAGTATTGTTGTTACAGAATTCAATTCCCTTCCTGTTTTTCTGTTTCTTTTTAAATATTTAAGTAGTACAAACAGATTGAGTGATAAAGCTTAAAACACTGCAAGTTTTTTTACGAATTAAGGTAATAATTATTTATAGATGCGTTTACTTTTTTCTTTATTTAAATTTCTGAAAATTCTTAGCATGTTGGAAAACATCAAAGTAGCACTTTGGTCGTTAACTTCGCATGATAGATACAAGATGAAACCTTCGTTTTACTTTGAATGTTAATAATTATAAAAATATTCTAATTGCTGCAACCATAACTTTTTTTTAATAAATAGGCACAGTTTTACTCAATGATGAAAACGTAAATAATTATCTGAACAGTAGATTAAGCAAAAATCATTACAAACAGATTATGCCTAGGCACATTATTTATTGGAAAAGTGCCACGACCGTAAACTTGACCGAAAGCGCCTATTTACTTCTTGAAGAATTTTTGTGTTTAAAAATACAAAAAAATGGTGGCAACTACTTTAAACCAAAGTGGTGTCTTACTAAGTGCCTTACTACACCAAAACAAAGGATAGTTCCGGCAGTAGATTTACACCTAGAATTTTCCTTAACACTATTTGGTGTAAAGTGGCTTTTCCCATATTTGTCATTCAGCAACACTAAAATTTATAATTACAGTAAGATACGCCAGGAATTAATTGATTTGATTAAGGTTTTTTGTGTATTGGAATGAAAAATATAGAGGAAGACAAATTTCTATATGTTTCTGCATCGTCTCATGATTTCAGTACGAAAATTGCTTGCAAATGTTTTGAAATAAAATGCTTTTTATATGTAATTTTCAGTTTACTCGTTTAAATTTTTGAAGACGCATATTCTAGAAAACTAAATTGACAAAAGATAATTGTTTTAAAATAAATGAGTTTTTGAAAATAAGAAATATTGTAATCGTAAATAATTACTCCGAATTCATTGCTGATATTTATGATTTCAAAAAACTTAAAAATATATATTATATAATATTTTAATAACTTGAAGAATATTAAAAAATATTTTATATAGAATATTTAATCAAATTTGCAAGAATGGCAAAAAATTCCAAGCATAAAATATCTATTTTAAAAAAGACATTTTCTCGTACACAAACAATTCGCATTATTTATCATTCTCAATAACAAATTTTTCTTTTGTGATCAATACTTCTTTTGCTGTATTAGCACTTTTAAGATATTTATAATGCTGAAGAAGCACTTTTTGAATGATCTTCATCAGTATTGTTCATCCAAAAGGCAAAGGCATAAATAACCTGTTGGCGACAATGCGTCCCCTTAAACCTGGAAGGAACACTTGTGGCGCCAATATCTGACAATATGGCAGTATCTTTTCATCAAAAAGACAGTAACGCTCCAATAAATAAATATTATGTGCAAAATGTAAAATATTAGTTTCGTTTCTTACATTAAAGCGTTTAATTTAATTACGCTGACATGACAAAATGATCAACTTATTGAGATATCCGAATCACTAAATACATTTTCAAACTGAAACGCTAGCTTGTAAGTTTGAAAAATAGGTTCAACAGAATAGCATTTAATATTGTAAATTAAATAAAATAAATTTTATATTTTTAACATATAAATGAAATTCAGAAAATATGCCAGAAGAGTAGTTTAAGTTTCGAAAATCTAAAGGGATTAATATAGGATTTTATGATTTAAAGAAAAAATATTAATTAGATATTTGAATCTTGTACTTTAAATTTTTTCATATGAGGTTTTTAAAAAAAAATCACTCGATAATTAGGAAGACTTAAATTAAGCGTCTTTAAATTTAGAAGATTCAAATCGTATGGACTTATTAAATCCCTTTGGAAATAAATTTATGTTGATTTCATTTATGATAGCTTTATGAGATTGTTTAAAGCAACAGGTTTTAATAGATAAGTGTCATTTTATTTATGAAGAAATAATCTACAATTAGTTGCTAAGAATAATCTTTATAATGAAGAAAAAATTTGAGAATTTCGAGTAAAGTTTTCTTTATTTGTTATGGTATTATATGGTTTCAAGGTATTATGCATGGTATTTTGTAGTGATCGCTCTTAAGCTTATTTTAGAAATATATATATTTAAGAAAATATATATATTTAAATTTTCGGACAAAAATGCAGTTAGAAAACTACACGCATTCGATTTCACAAACTAATATTTCAGCGAGAAGAAAGTGAAAACGCTGTCAGAATTTTACGAATCACTACTCAGGACGATAGAACAGAAATCCTAAAACCCTGTTTGACTGCCGAAAAGTGTTTTTTCTCTTTAAAATATTATTTATAACCCCTAATTTGTAAATTTTTTTTTTGAATTTTTTCTAGAAATGATTCTAAAAAGTAATATTGTGGGGGATCTTTAAGGAATACTATGTATATGGGTAAACTGTTTAAATTGCTCACAACTTAGACTTGGTTTAAGTTTTCAAAATTAGAACTAAATACTGCAAAAATGTTTGAACTATGTTTAATTATATATCAAAACTTTATGGCAAATACAATTACTAAATTTTTAAAGAATATTTAGAATTCTATTTTACCTTTTTTCTATCAGGCCATCTAGTCAACATGGCATGTAAAGTCTTTGTCTTCCATGCCAGGGTTCGATTCATCAAGCTAAAGCTGGGTGTTTTATCGAAGTTCACTTTCTCAAGCGAAATCTTAGTAGTTTGGAATTTATTTTAAATAATGGTTTCACAGCTGGTTGGGGAGCATGGTGCAAAGACCGGGTTATTACTACCATCACTTGCTCCTCCATATAAATTATGGTAGTGTAGTAAGTTATTGTGCCGATATTGTCTGCGTATCAGCACTAAGGATGACTACCAAACCCTCGCTATTAGAACAATAGTGTAACGTAGTGTTACATGACATACAATTGCAATAAACAAAGCAAGTAACAGCAATGACGTTACAAATCAATTGCAAAATAGCAGTCGATAACATTAACTATCATTTTAGCTTTAACGTTATCGATAACTCTTAAAAAAAGTAATAATTATAATGCATAATTTATAGAGATTGCGATTAAACCTCGAACACTGCATAATTTGAAGATAAAAATGTTTACTCCTAAATGGATGCATTCATTCGTAATAATTGCTAATTTCTAAATTCATTGCAGGATAAGCTGATTTTTTTCAGCTATCATACTTATAAATTGAATATCTTTTAGAAATGTAATAAAATTTTGAAGGAGGAGAATAAAAAAACACTTATATACAATGTTTAATATATTAGAAAACATGCATTTGTCTTCAAAAAGTGTTTTTCATCGCAGGAATGGATATCAAAACAATTTGTCATTTTTCAATTCGATACATCATGTCAGTAGCTCATCTATCAAAGAAATACACTTATTTCATTTTGATAGATGCTGTTTTTGATAAGAGAAAAAAATGGATCATTACTTGGATTGCTCTATTGATCTTCCCATCATACCTTTCACATTCTTTGAAATGTCATTAAAATAACATAATGCACATATAGGTGCGTGCGACTATAACTGATAATTTTGTTTTCGAAGTTACATATATTCAAATGTAACATTAAAAAAAATAGACTTGTTAGCTTGATTGGATAGATAGTGCAGCAAAATCATCACAAAGTTTAAATAATGTTTATTTTGAAGTAGATAAACATATTTATAATTCGAAATAAAATTTCTTGTTTTATAATGAAGGGGATAGCAATTATGGTTCAATTATTTCTTAATAATAGCATTTTTTTAACTAAATAAATGTTATTTACTGATTGAAATAACATTACCAGACAGAATAACAGTCGAGATGTTTCAAACGAGCCGG